CCAATTCGCTCCCAGTTCAAGGTTTTCTCGTTTATCTCGTGATTTCCGGCAAGCTGACTGTTGGTTTGGGAGGAAGACCCACCCCTTGAATCCCGTGAAGGGTTTCTCTCAGTCTAAAGGGTCCTGCCCTGGAAGCACTGAAAGGTTTTAATTCCACTTGTATGGTTGATGAGTTGATGAGTTAATTCCACTTGTAAGGCTTTAATTCCATGTTTGGTTACCATGGTATGGGTTGGTCCTCAACCGACCTGAAGTAAGGGTACTCGAGAATGGATCCTTTGGTGCCGGTCATGATCGGCCACCCAGACTCATGGCAAGAGCTATTTGCTTTACGCTGTCACAACATTATCCCATGCTTGTCCACAAAGAACATTGACACAGAATCAAGGGCCCAATGTTACTTGTCAGGGGTTTAGAAGCCGGGAAGGGAAGGCCAAGCTGGCTTCAATGTCGCTAGCCCATCTATGCGATCTCTGATTCGAGCCATCTGGACTCGAAGACATGGTGCATGCGCGCAAAGCGTCTCCTTTCTGCTTGAAAATCTTAATAGATTGCGTTCGCAAGGGCCACTGCGCCATCGCTCGTGGCATGGAGCGGCCTGGCCCGGGCTTCAATACGAAGGCCGCAAGCCCGGCCGATCGGCGATGCACTCGACCCGCCAAGCTCGCTCCCATGGAGCGGGCCCGAGGCCCGCTCGCGCAAGCGGGTGAGGCTCTGCAAATTACATGCACCGCGGCCGACTCCATCTCGGCGCTTGCGCCGTGCGAAGCCAGTCTCCACCAGGAACAAGTGAGAAAGACTAGGGAAGCCACGTATGCTGGATGATCTACTGTCAGCAAAGTCACAAAATTGCCCAGGGTAAACCCTGAAACTAGTCAGCGAATCAGCTTGCAAATGTACACACTGAGCTGATTGATAGAAACGAGACGACCCTTTTGCTGAACATTGGATGCAATTGTGTAAGACACCGATGTGCGTGGCAAATGCGGTACATGTCACTGCAGCTTCCAGGCTCAACACAGCATCCTAGACTTCCAGCTGCAGAATTCACACGCATCGCGACTCCGCCCCCCATTTTTTGCCCAGCAAAAGCCCTCATCCCAGGACCGCACAATCTGCCCGAGCGAATAATTCGGGTCAGCCTGAGGAAACTGTGCGCGGCAGACACCCAGAGGAGCTCATCGAAGAGGCCAGCGCTGGCCGAACTCTGTGGAACGCGCCGCGCCCGTCGCTACCGTTGGCCCACATCTGGGGTATGCGGAAAATCATATGTTCAGAATCTGCTTCGAAATTTTGACCTGGCCAAAATTTCAGGTAGTCTTGGAGCAGACCCCAGATACACCTCTCATCACCACTCCGCTCGATGCGGCCGCTCAAGTCTATTTGCGGCCCTTGGAGCAGCATCTTGTCCAGCGCAAAGGCGCAGACGCAGAGGGCGCTGGCCCAGTTGTGTTGCTTGTGCTCAGTTGTTCAGTGACCCTGGGAAAAAAGGGAACCCTTTTTGCGGCGGACCATTTGTAGTGGGGCAGCCACCAAAAAAAGAGAAAAAGGGTGCCACTGAACAACTGGGTTGTGTGGTTGTTTTAGGCTGCTGCAGAGAAGTAGCAGCAAATTTTCGTTCTATGCCTTGCGTGGCTTCACGATGTTACTTGCCCTTCTGTCTGTCTGGCGTACTGCAGCTGTTTGCGGTGCTTGGTCCTGTTCATTGGCCCAGTTGCAGTTGATTGCACGTCTCTGATGATTGCCTGCACAGCAAGCAGCAAGCCCTGATTTCTGCTTGCACACAAGGATCTCGAGAAATGTTTGTGTCTGTACGATCCAACGCAAGCCAACAAATCATGAATTTTACAGGCTAGGCCCACTGATGCACCGTCCACCTGTTCGCAAGATCTCATTGGAGCACCAATGTCTGGAAGGAACGCCTGCCCACTAAGTGGACTACTCCAACTGGTTGTTGATGGTAGGATGTCCCACATACCATTGAGATTGACGAAACGAGCCTGCGTCCTTACATGTTCAACGGGATCCCTTCCAATTCTTCACCAAGGGCCAAAAGGGACCTGGGAGTTTGCCGCAAGGAACCGACTGAATGGTTGGGTTCGTCATGGCTCTCATTCTTGAAACCATTCCAAAACAGATTCCCGGTCTGTGGCACACCGCCATATGATGCACCAGGGCCGCAGCTTTGGGGCATCTTTGACCCCCGCAGCTTCAGACTGCTCTGGCTCTCTCAGAAAAGGCCTCCGCCCCCTCAGTCAGCCAGACTCACATTTCTGGGGCTGCCGCCCAAAATGTGCCTACGCCTATTGCGTCAAGCTGCGAGAAGAAAAAAAACACAGGTATTCCCAACAACGTCAGCCGAATTCGTCGAATTCGTTCCCAAGACCTGCCCGACCTGCCCATAACCTGTCTGGAACCTGCCCGGGACCTTCGCGCAGCGGGCCGGAGCCTTCAAAGAATTGGCTAAGACCGGCCAAGATCATGGCTATCGCTGTCAGGGAAAACACGGAATGTGAAGTGTAGTGCACAGCCGCAAGATCAACCTGATAACAACATTTGGCGGGCACACAGACACACGCACACTAGAAAGCAAGTCGCAGCCAAGAATGAGACTCGCCCGAACCTCTGAATGATTCACTTCGGTGTTTGGCTCCATCAACACGAGCCCGGGTTTGACGCACCATGCCGACCAGAGAAGGGACAACATCCTCCCTCTAGTAGCACAAGGGATGACAATGAGCTAGCCTTGAACGAACCCACTGAAATACATGCGTGACTGGCAGTCAACCCAGTTTCTTCATCTACGAAACTCGTCGAGCAAGCAGGGCAACATTTGGCAGGAGAACCGGCATCCCCCGCGAAAACAGCAAAGGTTCTATAACGGTATAGCATTAGAGGGAGCAGTGCTGCAAACAATATCCGCCTACGGCAGGAAGCAGCGCCGTCACTGCAATTGTGACACGCAATCATTGTTGCTGTTCTGAAGCAGCAACACCAGGGGGGGTGAATCCAGGGGTTGGAACGCCTACTTGATGATTGCCATTCTATATCATATATACAATGTGTGTGTGTGTGTGCACACATGCTTCCAACTCCACGAAATGTCGGATGATCGCCACGCCGGCGCTTTTTCTCATTAGCGGACATGACCCGGCTGATTTTCGCTCGGGGTGCTATGTACAGCGAGCAGTTGTCAGATCAATTCACGGGTCACTGTCCCCTAAATGTCTGGCGCTCCTTGGTTGCCCTGCAAATGCCAAACAAAAGGGGGTCCACCGAAGCTCCCAAGCATCTTTTCATTTCCCCTTTCACAACTCCGGTTGTAGTCGGTTTCGCTCCGCGCGATTTTTGACAGCCAACGTCTGTCACTATCACATATCCTTCTCGGACCAATGCCCTGCTCTGACCGTGCCCCTTGAGACCTTGCCACGCGCCTTTGGCACCATCTGACTTTGGATGGATTCAAAGCTTTGGGTCTACAACGCCCCTTGCAAGAAAGTGCCCGCGTGTCGGGTCGTCAAATGCCCCCCCCTTTGTTACAGCACATCACTCTCATTCAAGTCCTCACTGGCCCAAACCTGCAAACACGCCGCCTCACCGCGCCGGGTCGCACAGCACGTCGATCGCCGCCTGCAGCCCACATTGCGCAGCCATGGGCGCCCCCGCGGGGAATCCTCTAATTTGCAAGATCCAGAGCAAAAAGAACTATGAGGGCACTTTCTGAAGAAAAACGGTACAGACCCTTAGAACCGTAGAACAACAATGACATGGCCATGGGTCAAGATCCCGTACCCCCAGTGAACATCCCAATCCCCACTAAAATAGACTAAAATGGGTGGTGCGCCACCCCAAAATGGTGCCTTTTGTTTCAACCTACATACAGCTCTGCTGCGGAACCAAGAGACAGATAAAAAGTCGCCTTGTGGACAGGGTCCGACCACCTTGCGTCAGGGCATGGGACTTCCGAATTGACACAAGAAACAGAGGCTCTGTTTCAAACAAAGGTGCGTTATGAGGTTCTCCTCAGCTTGGCTGCTGTTAACCCCCCTGCAAAAAGTTCAAGTTTTTGGGGGTTTAGCGGAAAACCGGAAAACCCTTGATTTCCCCAAAAGTTAAAGTCTAAAATCTTGATCCAACCCAATAGCAGTCAAGTCAGAGTGTGGAAGAGTAGAAGCCCCGAAAGCTGCACCAAAGTCGCACATTGAATATTTTAAGCAAGCTCGGTGTGGAAAAAAACCTGTTGGAATGCCCGGTTTCGCAGGTGGTGCCCCCTTTTCTCTTTCTGTTCCAAAAGAATCCTGGAAAGAGGAAAAGAGGCAACCAACAGAACACGAAGGCAGGACTTCGATTGTCATCCATATTATAATATTATTGGAGCAACTGGCTTTGGTAGGGGAGGGCCCTGGCTTTGCCGTCCTTTTCCTCAAGCTGGTTTCTCCAGTGACATCTTAAAAGTGCTGGCCTAAGCGCAGGCAAGGTCGACAAAACCCGGCCCATAGGACTGGACAAAGCATGTCTTGTCATAGAAGTGTGACCACCAAGAGGTACAACAAACCTGTTCCACATATGGGCCATTTTGCTCGACACCTGCCGCGGGGAACAATCCCAGCACGCAAATATTCACGCAGCTTGACGCGGCGTTTCTGTGGTACCAAAGCTGAAGGTCTCCATTTCGCATCTTCCTAGACCTCAGACATGCACCTGGCTGTGCCCCAAGTACCACAGCCGGCTGAGGGGCCTTGAGGCTGCCTGGCAAGCTCGCGCCAAAGCCGCCCAAGAAACCGCGCAGCTCGCTGGCAAGGCGCCAATGCACAGCACCATTCAAATGGAGATCCGACGACATTGGCGCCCAGGGCTCTGCTCTAGTGCCAAACTGAAACTCTGCCACTCACTCCTTGGCTCCTTCGTGCTTTCATCACAGGACCAACCAGCTTGCACCGGTGTCCAAGAAAGCGTGAAGAAATGAAGGACGTGAGGTCAAGCTCGAGTGAGCATTTGCTTCAAGTAGGCGACCTCTCCACTGCTCTGTTGGTTGACCACATGCAGCATTTGCACCTCCCGCGGAGCCAGGGGCGTGAGCCGTTCCTCGGACGCAATCTCAGCATCAGTTTTCAGCGGAACTGAACCACTCGCTTCCCTCACAAACATGTGACAGTTCGCTAGTTGCACTCAGCCCGTCTTCCCCACAAATGGGGGGGGCTGTATCAAAAAAGGGAGCCCCAAAATAGTGGTGGTCCTTGTGGTTGTTCTTCAAACCCAAATGCAGTGTCTGGGGTGACCCTCCCAACCACCGTAAAGGAGGAGATCGCCTAGATCACAGCACAGCAAAGCAAGGCTCATATGAAGCAAAGCAAGAACTACACCGCAGAAGCAAACAAGTACCCCAGGTTTGCTATGGTTTGCTTAAAACCCGAGAAGCCAGCAGCATCGTCGACATGTCGGGTATGCTCTAGTGAAACTTGTCTATCCCTGGCGTATCCCAGACTGGTGTGCACTCCCGAAAACCGCGTTCACCCCGCATTGATGACCGGCGTGGTTTTGCCCCAGGCCTGTGACATCTTCAATGGGCTGGGCGAACTTCTGACGAGGGCAAGTCAAGCGAAGCACGGATCCTCAATTGGTGGTTTGGATTGGTGGCTTGGTGGTTAAGGAGGGGCATTCTAAACCACCAATCCAAACCACCAACTGAGGGTAACCTGATCTGCAAAACTCCAAGGCACAGACGCAGCAACTAAACACCAATCACTTGTCAACAGCTCATTAAAAGCAAGCGAGCAACCAAGACTGGACCAATACCACACGCGACAAGCACAAAACCATCAAGGGTCACCGCAACCTACCACATCAGTCCACATGATCACCACTGAAATCCCGCAAAAAATGGGGAAAAACACTCCCGCAGCCCAACCAAATTTGGGTGGCCCTCAATGGGCTCTAACAAATGGATTCTACATGCGTGATTGTCTCAGGAGCAAGATCAACATGAGCAAGATATTTCTGCGCAGGAATCAGTCGAGCTAGACACGCATGAGCAATGTGAGCAGGAGCTCGGGCAAGATACACGTCAGCAACATACGCTCGAGCAAGATGCATGTGAGCAAAAAACACTCGAGCAGACACGCATGAGCAGCACATATTTTAGCAAAATACTCTCGAGCAAGGTACACTTGAGAAAGAAACAATTGAGCAAGATACACTTGAGCAAGAAATACTTGTGCAAGATGTGCATGATGCAGCAAATTCACCCGCTTCCTCTGGAGTATTATTGGCTCATGGCAACGTGAGTGGGAGTGCAGGAAATCATACGTAGGTTTTCTTCTTGACATGACTTTGGTGTTTGCAATGCATTGCAATCACCGTTGCTGTATGCTTCCGGGCCACCCGTCGTCTAGTTTTTGATTTTGCGGAGGGCAGTGGCATTTGTCAGGGGAGCCTTGACAGTTCAAATAAATGGGTTCCAGCTTGCACCGAAGCACAGAGAACCGAGACAGTGTACATTGGGCTCTGTGATTGAACCGAGACAGTATACGTTTGGCTATTTCGCTATGTAAGTGGCAGTGACGCTGACCCAGTGACATTGACACGGTGCTGAGGCAATATACTAGTTGACTACGTTGACATTGAGGTACTGCGATATATGTATGTGTATATACATACATACATACATACACACATACATACATACATACATACATACATACATACATACATACATACATACATACATACATACATACATACATACATACATACATACATACATACATACATACATACATACATACATACATACATACATACATACATACATACATACATACATACATACATACATTACATACATACATACATACATACATACATACATACATACATACATACATACATACATACATTACATACATACATACATACATACATACATACATACATACATACATACATACATACATACATACATACATACATACATACATACATACATACATACATACATACATACATACATACATACATACATACATACATACATACATACATACATACATACATACATACATACATACATACATACATACATACATACATACATACATACATACATACATACATACATACATACATACATACATACATACATACATACATACATACATACATACATACATACATACATACATACATACATACATACATACATACATACATACATACATACATACATACATACATACATACATACATACATACATACATACATACATACATACATACATACATACATACATACATACATACATACATACATACATACATACATACATACATACATACATACATACATACATACATACATACATACATACATACATACATACATACATACATACATACACATACATACATACATACATACATACATACATACATACATACATACATACATACATACATACATACATACATACATACATACATACATACATACATACATACATACATACATACATACATACATACATACATACATACATACATACATACATACATACATACATACATACATACATACATACATACATACATACATACATACATACATACATACATACATACATACATACATACATACATACATACATACATACATACATACATACATACATACATACATACATACATACATACATACATACATACATACATACATACATACATACATACATACATACATACATACATACATACATTACATACATACATACATACATACATACATACATACATACATACATACATACATACATACATACATACATACATTACATACATACATACATACATACATACATACATACATACATACATACATACATACATACATACATACATACATACATACATACATACATACATACATACATACATACATACATACATACATACATACATACATACATACATACATACATACATACATACATACATACATACATACATACATACATACATACATACATACATACATACATACATACATACATACATACATACATACATACATACATACATACATACATACATACATACATACATACATACATTACATACATACATACATACATACATACATACATACATACATACATACATACATACATACATACATACATACATACATACATACATACATACATATACATACATACATACATACATACATACATACATACATACATACATACATACATACATACATACATACATACATACATACATACATACATACATACATACATACATACATACATACATACATATACATACATACATACATACATACATACATACATACATACATACATACATACATACATACATACATACATACATACATACATACATACATACATACATACATACATACATACATACATACATACATACATACATACATACATACATATACATACATACATACATACATACATACATACATACATACATACATACATACATACATACATACATACATACATACATACATACATACATACATACATACATACATACATACATACATACATACATACATACATACATACATACATACATACATACATACATACATACATACATACATACATACATACATACATACATACATACATACATACATACATACATACATACATACATACATACATACATACATACATACATACATACATACATACATACATACATACATACATACATACATACATACATACATACATACATACATACATACATACATACATACATACATACATACATACATACATACATACATACATACATACATACATACATACATACATACATACATACATACATACATACATACATACATACATACATACATACATACATACATACATACATACATACATACATACATACATACATACATACATACATACATACATACATACATACATACATACATACATACATACATACATACATACATACATACATACATACATACATACATACATACATACATACATACATACATACATACATACATACATACATACATACATACATACATACATACATACATACATACATACATACATACATACATACATACATACATACATACATACATACATACATACATACATACATACATACATACATACATACATACATACATACATACATACATACATACATACATACATACATACATACATACATAATTACATACATTACATACATACATACATACATACATACATACATACATACATACATACATACATACATACATATATATATATATATATAACATATATATACATACATACATATATACATGTATATATATAACATATATATATATATATATATACATACATACATATATACATATATATATATATATTTATACACATATATATATATATATGTATCCGGATATATATATATATATATATGTATGTATCCGGCCGTCGCGCTGAGTGAGCGAGCGGTTGGTTCTTGGACATAGCCTTCGAGCCCAGCGGCTTCCCGGCGCCTCCTTCGGCTCCCAGGCGAGGCCTCTTGGAGCTCGGTGGAAGTGGCTGGTGCACCAGCTTCCCTCGCCTCGGCCACGGAGCCCCGGAGCCCCGGAGCGGAGTTTGTGTGGATCCGAAGATAAAGAACGAAAGGGAGAGGAGCGCTCGGCAGGGACGTCTGGGCGAAAGGCCGGAGTTTGTGTAAGGGTGTCTTGTGGGGGGTTCATATCTGAAGGCTGGAATTTCCTGGTGTCGAACAAGTGGAAACGTTTGCTGACTGTCCATATTTGGGGGGCCAAGCAAAATAAGGGACAGCGGATGCACACCCACCAACCCGGAACCTGACTAAGGGTTTCTCTTCCTCTCAAGAAAGGCCAGATCTCTGGTGGGTTCCAGGAGGAGGTAGCTTTTGATGGCCGTGGCCAAACTTCAACTGGGTCCGTGTCCAAAATTGGTGGACCCCAAACAACTGTGGCTGCCCTTTTGGCTTCCCTTGAACAACCCCCCAAAAAAAAGACGAGAAAAAAAAACATGAACAACCACCCCCCACCCCCCAAAAAACCATTAAAAACACATGCCCTCCACTTGCTTCCGCGGAGCAAGTACACTGACTCCACCTCCGCAGTTCGGAGCTGATGAGAGGTCAACTCCTCTCGCGTAGAGAGCACCACGAAGTCGGCCTGCGAAGGCCCGCTTTCACCGGATGGTATTTGGCGGTGGGTCAAAATTAAACCAGGGGATCGCAGATTTTAAACCATTCCTCTTACCAGGGTTCCATTCTGGGTATCTAGTTTTTACCCACAGCCATTTGATGTTCAACCACGTACCGACCCTGTAAGCATGGTGCAAGTTTGTTCATGTCCAGCTACATGTTGAGGTGGGTTCCATTGAAATAGCCAAGGTTACCTTTGCAGGGGGCTTTCCTTTAAACCGCTATGCAGGCAACACTGCAGTGGAACCTAAAGTGTTAAGGGTGTCCAACTCTTTGGTGAGCTCTATATAGTGGACAGGGAGGTATGACTCCACTTTGGTCTTAGCCCGGCGCGGTGCGATCTCCGGGAGATTGCCATAATGGTGGCCGACCAACCACTGAATCTGGTTATTTGACCCGTCAACTGTCTAACCTCAAGCTCTCAGGTTACCCATTTTTGGTGGTTTGGATTGGTGGTTGTGGATTTGAACCCCTGCTTCCCGTAGAGGGTGATGAAAAACTTATCTTAACCACCAAGCCACCAATCCAAACCACCAAACAAGGGGAAGCTGAAGCTCCGAAGAACCTGTTGGAATGAAAATTCGAATTTATTACCATTGAGGTCAGGTCGAGCCGGGATACTGAATGTTTCTGGATTCTCGAGCAAAAGGGGCAAACAATGAATGCACACCTCAAGAATCACAGCTCTAGACTCGAGTCTAGAGTCTAGACTCTAAAGTGAGTAAGTTGAACGAACCATTAAATCCCATTGTCACCAGCCGACCCAAGTCAGCAAGAACCAAGCACTTTTGCCCAAGAGCGACCACGCACCAACAAGTGCCAAGCAGCAACGACCGCAACAAGTCACCGGCCAAAGCCACCCACCAAGCAGCCATCCAACCGGCCCATCCGCCTCCATGCCAGGCTCGAAGCCGCCAATGCGGTCCTGGCTGACTCTCCAAACAGTGAGCGAGGTGATACAAAGGCGGGTGCAGAGGCTTGAAGCCTGCAGTGGAGTTTGAAGTTTTGGAGAGGTCGCAACGCCAGCAGTCCGGCAAAGTTTGATCCAGATTTCTGATTGCTGCTCCTGGTGCAGACGCACAACCATGAAAGGGCGAGGCAGCTTCCACCTACTTGGACCGGCTTGCTCATGCAGGCATTTGATCGCCCTAGTTCAACAGGCTCCCCAACAGCCAAAGCTGCAGGAGATGCAAGCCTGGAAAACCAAACCCTCCCTGCTGCTCGGTGGCTTCAGTGGGAACAGTTTCTTCTTGGTTTTCGTTGAAAACAAACAAGGTGGAAACAAGGGTACCCTCCAAAAACGACACACACACACACAGAGATCTGTCAGAAGCATCCTTACCATTCCCAAAATCCCCCTATTTTCGGGGGTTCCATGATCCCTCACCCCCCCAAAAACGGGGACCTTTCTTTTCCTTCAGCCCCCGGCCCTGCGCCGAAGACCCCCGCGCTTTTGTTCCGCTTCCTCCGCGCGGGCGGCGAAGGCGGCCCCTTCGGTGTAGATGCCCAGCGCCTCCGCCAGCGTCAGCTGCTCCGAGGCGTGCAGCGCGTGGTCCATGGCATCCGCCATGCCGATCCTTGCGGAGCGGCGATCCGCGCGCGGATCGGCGCGGGGTCGTTCGCGGATTCGGAGTCGGTCGCCAGGCTCGGACCGAAGCCAAGTTGCTTCGCCCGAAGCTGCGGGAGATTGAGTGAATCCCAATCTAAAGGACATGGCCGTTTCCAAAGCTGACGAGCGGAAGGTTTTGGAAGATGCATGCGTTCCCCTAAAAACTCCACTTAAAGGCTCGCGTGGGGCCCCTGGTTGAAACGTGAAACCTGCGTTTTAGAACCACTTTTGGCGGCCGACGCAATTGACAAATGAAGGGGGGCCACGACATCACATCTAGGCAACCACTGGCATTCACTCCTAGAAGTCTGGAGCAAACCAAGAATCTGCAACCACGAGATCTCAGTGCATGTTGTACCCGATTCCGCTTGACCTTCATGTGGATCAAGTATTCAGGGCAACCCTCCTCGTCCCTCCCCCGTTTTACCCCTCTACTCCCAATTTCCCTTCCCTTTGTCCCCAACAATGTCCCTGGGATTCTTTTTGAGCACTGACACTTGTTCAAGCGGTGAATGTAACTTTGAAAAACCTCGTTGGACAACTTCGTTGGTGGCATTGTTTGTGCTCCTAGTTGTGGCTTTTGGGGCACCAAGTCGTGGCTTTGTGCTGGTCACTTTGGCCTTTTAAACCTCCACTTTGAGTGTTTGCGCTTTCGAGTCGTAGTTGAGCTTTCTGGCGTATTACTTGCGCTCCTCTTGGCGATTGAAAGCATAGTTTTGGGATACGTCGGCAACTGCCGTTTTCTGCTGGTCTTTCATTCCCCCCAATTGTGGTTTTCTGGTGCTACTTGTTTGCAGAGTTTTCGCCCAAAATGTGCTTTGTCTGGTGGTTCCTCTGGCTAGCAGACATATTCAACCGTTAGTGCTCGTGCGTAGCATCCTCCCTCCCAAGTTGCCAGCGGGCTTTCCCTCCCACCAGCTAACATGGAAGTGCAAAACACCCTTTTTCCCAAGAGGAAAGTAGTCCTGCTACAGGGGCCTGTGCACCAACCCATGTTCGGTGGGAGGGTTCCGTTTCGCATCTCGGACAGCAAAATCCAAAGGGCCGAGTCTCAACGGACTTGGGCTCTCCACCGGCGCATCGCTGCCGCCACACACGTGCACGCCAGCCTTCATCAGGGTCCGCCACACGTAGGAGTACCTCCAACCAAGAAACAAACAATGGGAAGAACAATCAGGCATTAATCAGCTGCAGATTCCCGAACCAAGTCTGACCGCCAAATCGGCCACCAGTGGATTTACCAGTTCCTCCCCTGTCAGTTCTTTCCTGCCGGGATTTCTAAGCCCCGGCACCGGAAGCGCTCCGTGTCCTCGCCCACGCGGGTCTTGACGATGGCCAGGTCCGACGGCACAAACTGGGGCTGCACGTTGGCGATGATGCCGGCCTCGGGCGGGACCCAAAAATCCGAGACTCACCCCAAGAATGCTTCTACAAAAGAAACACGGCGTTTCAAGAAACATGGAAGGGAAACCAAGGGCGGAAATTGACACCGGCCCCCCGCAAAGATGGTGTTTCACGGAGGGAAGCCAACATCGCAGGCGTTGAAACAGTCGGTAAGAGGACAGGCACTCGGAAACTTGGACATCCGGGGCCCTGGTCCGGAAAATTGAAGGTGGCTGACTTCAGCGGGATCTTTGAGGGAAGAGCCACAGAACGTACAAATAAGCCACGGTCAATGCTCATTTGGTCCACCAATCCACACGCAAATTCGTCGCGTTTCTTAAAGGCTCACACGACTGCCGGGAGACATTTCTACAAGAAAGTGGTAGTAGGGGCTGGGCCGAGACCTGTGCCATTTAATCGAAACACGCCCTGCTAATCTTAACAAGCCTTCTACTCCGTATTGTTGCTGATGAGGCCTTGCCTTGCCATGGAACGAATGATGTAATACCGAAAACATCGTGCCAGAAAACCGGCATACATCATTAAAACCGCCTTGCTGGCTGATTCATCGCGTGACTGTTTCATCTGCTGGCAAGGCTTGGCTAATACACGCCCACCTCAAGATTGGAAAGGACCGGCATGACGCGAACACACACAGAAAGGAACAACAACTTCCACGTGCCGTGTCTGGCCACTTGTTTCTGCGCAGCACGTTAGTTGCGTGTCCAAGTGATTCCTTCCTGCCCTGTGCTCTCAAGTGTCTGCGTATTTGTTTTTGTGGGGGTCCCGTCATATTGGTTCAGAGGGAAACCGAAGAAATTACTTTACTTCGACAATTTATTTCGATGCAAAGCCACACAGACACACAACAGTCAACCTGTCCGGGCCTCAGGCACGCCGCTGGCTGATGCGACAGCAAGGAAAGTCAGTCAAACCAAAATGAAACCAAGGCAGTGTTGAACCAAACAACAAAAACCTAGCTGTTACCGACATCACGCTTCCTGCTTGGTGGCGATTCTTCGAGGGGCCAGGCAAGCCCTTGCAAGGACACATCATCTGCAACGACATGAGCTGATGCAGCTATTCAATCTTCCTCATCCCGGGTCTTGTGGCTCAGCATAGCTTTAGCGGCTGCACGCTGTTGCCTGCGTGACACGCGCGTGCATTTACACGCGCTGGCACCTGGGCCTTTGTCAAACAAACAGCCAAGCCGCCGCATCTTTGAGCACCGACGACACGCTGCAGCCAAGTCAAGTGGCCCAACAAGCAAAACGAAAGCTCCCTTGTCGCCAGATTTGCTTCGAGCCCTTGCAAACCTGGTTCTGAACGATGAGTTCTTAGCAGCCTGAACTGCTCTGCATGGCTCGTTGCTAGCTCTAGGCTTCGACCCACGCCTCAAGCTTCGGATTGTCGCGGCGGCCCTGGCCCGCTCAAGCTTTGGCCTGTCACGGCCACACTGACAGCTGGCCCGGCCACACAGGTGAGGCTTCGCACTGTCCCGGCCCGTCCACTGGCGGGAGCCTCAGGCTTTGGACTGTCGCAGCTGAGCTCTGTCACTGCTGTCTGTAGCTGTGCGTCAGGCTGTGTCGCAGCTGTCCAACCCCAAAATTGTTGGGCGGGCCAAAACACACCTTGTTGGGAGGTCCCCCTATTTTGACACATACAAATCTGCATTCAAGCCGATTTCACCGCCGAGCGAGCGTGCCTTGAAAGGACAGCCGGGCCGCTTTGGACATCCTGTCGACCAAGCTCTTGTTCAAGAACTGGCAATGCGTGAGCACGGGCCTGAGCCAAGGCGGGAAAGGATACATTGTAACAATCAAAGACACAAACAAGCATAGAAACATAGAAGCATAGAAACATAGAAACACACAAACAAACAAACAAACAAACAAAGGAAGGAAGCAAGGGAGAAAGAAAGAAAGAAAGAAAGAAAGAAAGAAAGGAAGGAAGGAAGGAAGGAAGAAAGAAAGAAAAACAAAAACATGAAATAAAGACAGTCTTACACAATCACAAACACAAGCAAATTCAAACATCGACACAAACGCAAGCACAAACACTGACCACACACACAAAGATAAACCAACAGGTGGTGAAGTATAGTGCAAGCACACGGCCGAAGGAAATGCATGCCTCCCGCGCTAGTTCGTGTGAATGGGTGAGCATTGCCAAGCGCCAAACAGCGACTCAGCAATGTTGAGCAAACTGAGACAAAGAACATCATCCCGCCATCAAATATGAACATTGGCATTCGTTGTGCCAGTAGTTCTCGAGCCTGAGTTCTCAATAGGGCAACACTGAAACAACAAGACACTGCGCCCGTCCATGCTAGCGATTGCTCAGCATATATACATCCGGGCAACCAGCATCCAATCCCGACATGCCCTTCCACAGAAAGTGAACCAAAAAAACACCCTAGAGAAGCTGTTTCCCTGTAGAGCTTTTATCCTTCCAGTTCTGCTTGCCCATTCCCGCGGTTGGGTCCAGGCCTCTCCGCTGAAGGCATCAGACGCTCGAAGGCATCCACCAAATGCCTTCGAGAAAAATCGGAGCAATGGAAATCCAAGGATTTCCAAGACCAAAGTGGAAAGTTGATACGATACTCAAGAGGATACCAAAGTTGATACCAAAGTCCAAAAAAGGATTTCCAAAGAGGATACTCAAGATTCTACAAAGTGGAAACATGTTGAGAAAGTTGGTAAGGAAAAAGGCGTTAGAAAAAATATGACACCAGGAAGCTGTTGGGATTTTTCTGACTTCCATGGAAGCCAAGGGGAAACCAACGAATCTTTTGGGGAACAAACACATCTGGCACCCTCTTTCTCACGAATCTGTTGGGAGCTGAAACAACATGTTTATATATGTTGCTTCGCGTCCCAAGAAGGTTCCCGATCGGCGTCAGGTCCACCAAAGAATTTATCATTTCCGGCTCGTTCGGGCCCGGGCCAAAGCCCAGCGAAACGTGACAGCGTCTTCCGGCTCGTTTGGGTTCCTTGATGGTTTTCGGAAGGTTGAATATTGAGGTCCCTAAAGTGCCAGCATGCCGATGGTAAAATACGCTCAACTGAAGGTGCCCAAGCCAAGGTTTCAAACGAGACATGACGTGATTCAAGGATAATCAAAATATGGCACACAAGGCCAGGGCCAGGCCTACAGAACTGTAGTTGTGGGCAAGTGTCTAAGCTCGGCAGCCCTCCCCAAAAGGCTCCAGCCATAGCTGCTGAACCGAATCTAGTTTCCACACCAAACTGCTAAATTGCACACCATCGGACCCCTCAAAACGGCGTGCTTTTTTTCCCAACACCTGGTCTGGGCTGCCCAGATCCTGCCAAAAGTTGAACCTTTGGTGGGTTAAATGGAAACTACCTCTAAACACTAAAACCTAAAAAGCTAAGGGGATGGCTGGGAGCCACCAAGTGGCATCGGCCTAAAGATGGCATTGCGCATCCACAAAACTATACTTCTATGAACGGTATAACAACCACCGATTTCCACCTGGTTGGTGCCTGGCGCGGATTGGGTCCAACCATTTGTGGCCTGGGCGTTCTCGTTTTTCGCAACCAAAAAGGACATAGGGCCCCCTCTGGCTTTTGGCTCCCCGGGCTCCGCCAAGGAATCGCCTGAGCTTCCCCACGTGGCGGAGCGGTCCCCGATGGCGTGGGCCTCCACCCGGAAGCGGTGCTTCTTCAGCAGCTCCAAAGCCTCTTGCTTCCGCTCGCTCGAGCTCGCTCCGTGGTCTGTGACAAGGGCCAAAAAGAGCCGGAAATGCCTAGAAAAAAGGGAGATGACCCGGTCCCTAGGGCCAATGTTTTGGTAGTCCCATGTATCACGCCCGTTTGATCAATCCACCCCTACATTCATATGAGCTCTCACATATATATATATATATGTTGATATAGCTCAACCCCCCCCCATGATCCAGGTTTTCAGTTTGGCAGGTACGAAACTGAGCGTGTCATATCTGCTGCTAACTGTAAACACGTTCCTGCGCTTCTGGCTTCAGCTGGTTCAACCTGTTCCTGCACCCGCGTCTGTCTGCTTCACCTAATGGTGACTGAAGCTCCTCAGCGAGCACAATCCCTGGCGATGTCCTTCAACAAGGGCAACCTGGACGGAGCTTGCGCTCTGGATGAGGCGATTGCGAACACAGACGGCATGAAGATCATCACCCTTGAGAAACCTATCATCTTGAACAAGGAGCCGGGCTCTATCAAGTTTGGTGACCTATCGGCAAAGATGACCATCGATGAGGGCCTCAAGAAGACGGTGCAGTTCATTGAGGTTGTGGCTGACCACGAGGGCCCGATTGATAAGCACATTGAGATCTCCATGAAAAGCAACTTCCAAGCCCCATACAACATGCAGCTGTTCATCATTCCGAAAGACGGGGGCAAGTTTGATATCATCAAGCACATCAAATTTCTCGATGGGACCAAGGTCATTCACAACACCATCCGGGCTATGTGGAATCCCGTTGGATCGACTTGCATGGCAAGTTCCGTGAGGGTGGGCGAGGCTTGCAATACCTGCTCGAGGGAATGGGTGGCTTCCAGGTCCGCTACCACAACATTGTGCCTATCCAGCAAGCCCTCCCGTGAGACTGAGGAAATCAGGAAGGGATTCGACTACATTCGCAAGCACGGGCCTGAGGAGAATGGGGACGGCCAGTTCACTTCCTGGCTCATGGTCCCTATACAAATGGGACAAGGGGACCATCAAGGAGTTGGCAGACCAGGGCTGCCAAGCAAACACTGTCGAAGACTGGCCCCTCACCTTCCGCAGCATCAATCCGTGGGCACGGAACACAGTGACATCCTGTCGCATGTCGCGATTTGGGCGGGGAAGTCCCAAGTCAGCAAGAGTCCTGTACACTCTCTCGTCCGTGGTGTCAGCGTACTGGATGCTGCAGGAGGAGAAGGAGGGAGCTCCGGCTTTCCAAACCTGCAATCACTTGGACTACTTCCGCCGAGGGTGTTTGATGATGGCAATCTCAACCTCGAGCACCCTGCCGCCTCCGTGAAGGCTGTGACAGAAGTGGACGGCATAGACGGGAAGACGATGGCAAGGTGCAACGCCTCATCGTACGCCAAGAACCAGCTCTGCAGCAATCCGTACGACAGGAGCGTCCAGCCCGCCATGCCTGCGCAGTGCCACTTGAGGTCTTCTGCAAGCTGGTTCGCCCTTCCAGGGCCGCCTGGATCAAATTGAGACTCCATTGCAGGTCCCGCGCGTGATCAGGAGGAAGTCGAGAAAGGCTGCCTTGCTTGTAAGCGGCCAGCGCAACGGGTCTTGCCGACAAGGAAACCATTCCACAGTCCCGATCAGGCCAAGCATGGCTGCGCCCGGTGCCCGGCAGCCTGACATAGATGGCGACAACGGAGACTGACCTTTTGAAGACACCAATCAAGTCCTCTTCATCAAAGTCCCGGTGAAAGGAGGGAGAGGATGTCCCATATTGCAACCATCCGGGGCACAGAGCTTTTCTCTGGCAGAAAGTATTTGGAGGAGAAACGCCCCACAAAGTACCACTTTGATATCGTTGACGGGTCCGCCGCTGAGCCTCCCTGTCAGCGCTGCTGTCCTTGAAGGATGAGCCCAAGGATGAGCCCAAGCAAGAGACAAAGGATGAGCCCAAGGACGAGCCCAAGCACGAGACAAAGGACGAGCCCAAGAATGCTCCCAAGCAAGAGCCCAAGGCCAGAGCAGGATGTCAAGAAGGTTCAGAAAGAGCCTGGTGTCTTCCACAACAAGCTAGCCCAACGCCCACTGCGCATCAACTTGTCTGACTCATCTGAGGCACCAGACCACATCAAGGAAGCGGCTGCTCCCTCTATTCCTGCGCCAGCACACGGGCATGATCTGAACGAGGGCGTGGACCCAACTTGCCGGCCTCCGCGCATCTGGAGCTGGAGGTGGGGCTGGAGCAGGATAACAATGCCGATGTGTCCCTCTCCCACTGGCAAGCAAAAGGGCCAAGAAGGAAAAAGACAAATTGTCGTGGTGTCTTCCTGCCTGCGCTTTGTCAATTGCACATGTTTGTGTTGGGCAGTGCATGAGCAGTATGCGTTGCAGCGCTCCTGTGCATCACCTGTAGTGATAAGGAAAAAGACAAATTGCCGTGTTGTCTTCCATTTTGCACTTTGTCAATTGCACATGTCAATTGTTGCGCAGTGCATGAGCCGTGTGTGTTGCAGCGCTTTGCATCAACGAGAGCTGCCCTGTAGCTGATCTCTGTTTCTTAGCCAGGCATGCCAAAAATGGTTATGAAAGCTATGAAAGTGAAGAGCGAGAAGCCGCCATTCCAAGCCCCAAAGCGTGGCAAACGGCGTGTACAAAAGCCAAGTCAGCCTCGGCTGCCCCATACGTTCGGCATGGCGTCAAGACCACGAAGACCAGACATCACCAAGCCCGTTGAAAACGCTCTGTCCAGAAATGGTCGTCTTTATCGGGGCTACGCTTGATCCAGAAGTTGCAGGCGGACAAGATCCTCACAAGCTGGGAGGCAAGGGTTGCCCTCGATGCGGCAAGGGTGAGATGGGCCCATTGAAGTACTGCAAGGCCACCAAGCTGTGGGCTTACAGGTGCCGATAATGGAAGTGTCACAAGTTCCTCCAACCCCACGACTACCACCCCATCTTCTACATGGGCTCTGGGAACTCTTCCGCTGGCTGCCTAGCCACTCCACCAGGAAGCCAGCGGCTTAAAAGTTGGTAAGGACAATTGGAAATCAGGAGGGGGGGCAGTTACCGCAGACCCCCAGGCAAATTCAAAGCACTCCACTCTTTTGCTGTGCGAGCGGGCCGGCTCAAATCAGAGATGTTTCAAAAAGGACGGCGGCACCAAGTCTTTGCACGACGGGCACCACTGCCTACCCCACGCCACCGCCTCCAAAATGCTATTCAACCGCGTGCAATCAGGCCCTGCCAGCAAGTGGCCTCCTTCGAGCGGCAATGGTGGCACACCACCTCAGGCGCCTCAGCCGCAGTTGCCACATGTAACAAACTGCGGGGAGAAGCGCGGAACTCCTTCACCTTTGGCCCCGCCGGCTTTTTCGCCCACTTGGACGCCTCTCCCGTAATCCAGGCCTCAGAGCGGGCTCCTCGCTGGGCTTGGATGACACCTGCGCCTTGGCCTGCTCCCAGCTCATGCCCGACATAGCCACCGCACCCTTGTGGACCCCCACCATACAATGGGCGACCACGTAATTGGCTGTTCCAGCGTGCAACAAAGAGGCCACAGCCCTCCAGTCGTCCTCAGCATAGCAGGACAGCATCCGGAAGGGCGTGGCACCCGGAAGGCGGATGCCTCCACGCGGCAGAGCCTCCATGGAGTAAAGCTGGAGATCAGTGTTTGGAAACAATTGCAAAGTGTTCTGCCTAGGCAAGCCGGACAACCAAAGCTGGAAGCGCCCCTGCTGAAACACACAACGAGGAGGCTCAGGATTGCGACCATGACCTGGCGCATTCCAGCGCGCCGAAGCCTCCGGCTCTGTAATCCGAAAACCCCGCCCCCCCAAGCGGAGGGGGGTGGACCTCTATAACTCCGCGACCGCAACGACGGCTCCTGAAAATACGCCGGCAAGGGCCCGGCCTGCCAGGCGAGCAACTCGATCAGCTTCCGGCACATCCTCTAACCACACCGCCTCTTTCGCACGGCAAGAGCAGCCTGGATGTTTTTCATAGTACGCCCGGCCCTTCTTCATGAGGACCGAACACTGGTGGCTACCCCTGGCGGTAGGTGTCGCCCCCATCGCATCCATCCCGCGACTTGTTCAGGAGAACCTTCCCCTCAACGGTCAGCAACTCAGGGCAAGTGGACTGATTGGCCTTGGGCATGCGCTTGCCGCTGGAAAATCTGGCGGACCTCGCGCAGGCTTGCCGGTGCTGCATAGATCGTTTGCAAATCCCGGCTCAACAGAGCGCTCACTTTTCTCACAGCTTCCTGCAAGAGTTCCTCAGGAATTTCATCCCACGTGGAGCGAGGACTCAGGGGCTGAAAGGCGGCGTGAAGCATGAATTTCAGTCCCAGACTGCAAGAGTCTGCCGCGACGACCAATCACCAAGGGCCAGCATTTGGCCAAGTGCATCAACTGCTCCAAAGTGGGCAAAGCACGCCGCCAACTGTACCCCGAGAGTGAGTCCACATTGGCAACGTCTTCTGTCAAAGCCAAGCGGGAAGCCGTCCCGACGGCTTGCGCAGGCTCGAGCCCACAATGGATCCAAGGTTGTGCGCATAGAACAGTAACCCGCTCCTCAACACGGGAGAAGGTGACACGCAGCCCCTGCGAACAATGCGGGTCAGCAAGAAGCCAGTCCTATCAATGCATGCTGCAACTGCCACGCAAAGCAGCTGTGGTCCTCGTCGCAACCTATGAAACGATTGGGCACTGCCCGCAACTGTGCAATCATCAAAGTAGCCCTCGGTAGTGAGCAAGGGAAATTTAGTACAACAGGTCCAGTGCATCGCAGAACCCCAAGACTCTTGTTCACTCTTTTCCACTGTCTGACGAGCACCCACTTGTGTGATGCCCGCCCCTCCGCCTGGCCTGCTGCTTTCCGCGAGAGGACGGCCTCTAGAGATATCCTCCGCACCTTGGATCTCTGGATGTGGGCGTGCCGGACTGCACCGGCAGTCATGATCCATGCCCCCAGCAATTCCGGATACCAATTTGCGCTCTGAAAGGCTGCACTGCCAGGGCCTGCTGCTCCCCACGCTGCCCTATTCGGCTCAAAGGTGGGGTCAGCACGCCGGCCATGTCAATCGGGCTCTCCACATGGCGTTGCAGCCAGTGCAGACTTTGAAAAGCACGGCTAGGACCCTTGTCCTCCTGCAAAAAGAGCTCAAGCAGTGATCGGGACCACGGGGCACAGGGGCGCTGTCCACAGTGGCGGTTTCTGACTCCCGGAGCAACGTGTCCGCCCTATACTGCAGGACCCGACGCGCCTCGCCCGGAGACAGGTGATCCATCGGGTAGATGGGACCGACACTCTATAAGGACCTTCGCAACTGGCCAAAGAGCTCGGGCTTCATGTTGCCGGGCTGGGTCCAAATGCGAACGCCCTCTGGCGACCGCTGTGGGACGCCTCCGCGGGAGAGGTTGCCGCCCACCTCCGGTCGGGCGAGCCCGAGTGTCTTGGGCACGATAAGCCGGTTCAATGGCCGCCGCCAACTGCCTGTCCTCAGCAGCCCGGATGTCAACCCAAGCGCCCGCCAGCGCCGAGCCCCCCGCTGCACAGGCTTGCTCATAGGTGTTGAAGGCATACGCGAATTCCGAATCTTCTTGAAGCTGCCGATCACGCCGGAAGCGCTCCAGCTTAGCCGCTTCTACGGCCGCCAGGCGCGGGTCCGCGTGCTCCATGCAGGCCGCAGCCGGAGGCCGGCGCGCAGTGACGCCGCACACTCCAAAACTGAAAAGGGCCAGAGCCAACGCCTGCAGATTCGAGCGCCCGCTGATCGGGGAATGCCTCCCGAACAGAGCCGCGACAAGACACGCAGGTGGGCTCATCAGGTTCACATGCCCCACACATAGGCCTGTCACACCCCGCATACCATTTTTTGTGCGCGAGGGGCGGGGAAAGCAAGGGTAGTTCATGTTCCTGGGATACCTCCAGCCAAATACCCAAGGCCCGCTGTGCCGAAAGGTATGCATCCATGAAAGCCATGAACCGAGTTGGATATTGCGGGGTGGGATCCCTCCACCCGCAAATCGAACATAGCTAATCATCAGCTATTTTGGCTCCATAAGAGAAAAGACACAACGCCTGTGTATCTTGAGCCAAAGGGTCCAAGCTACACAGGCTCCTTCCCTCTTTCAAATGATGACATGACACCAAGCCTGCCCAAGCCTGATCATGCAACCTATATATGTTCCAGGCCTGCAGCCCCACCCCCCCCCCACCTTGTTTGTGGATGTGGTGGGGTTGCTTGAGCGTGGGTGCTTGGCCATTGCACGAATGCTGCCGTTTCAGTCACGGTCGAGCGCTGCTTGCATGTTGTCGGAGCACCTTAATGACACAACATCTCACTCGCAACAGGCAACGAGGTCACCAGTGTCAAAACAAGTCTGCCACAATTCATACGATTGCCAAGTTCGCCGGCAGCTCAGCCCTAAGCACCTCCCCCCTCCCTCCTGGATGACATGGGGCGGGGGGGTGGTGCAGCGGGGGGTACCGGGCCGCGGACCGGGATAATATATATATATATATATATGTATATATATATATATATGTATATATATGTATACTGTATATATATATATATGTATATATACACATATACATTTACATATGCAGGGGTTGCATCTATATATATATATATATAAATAATGCCGTGCCACCCATCAATCAATTAGGGGCAGGGAGCTCCCAAATGTGGGTGCGCAAAATGGGATGTGGCAAACGGGAAGGGAACCAAAAGAAAGCCAAACATTCTGGCTTAGACACGCGCACATCTGCACGTCCAATGATTCACTTGCCAAGGATTTCTGCTCATGGAGACAAGCCAGCATCCAGGTTCATGTTGCGTGATGCGTTGTCGGTTCATGTTGCGTGATGCGTTGTCGAGTTCGCTGATCTGAAATGCAGATCATGCATGGCGGGCGAAGCTACTCTTCGCGTGTGAGAGAGAGAGAGAGAGGTCGGTGAAAGTCATGCAGGACCATGGATTCACATAAGTCATACCAGTTCGCATGTGGCCTGGGAGGAAGTCGAATGGTTTGGGTCAATGGCAGATCCCATCCGCCAAGCAAATCCAAACTCCTATGAGTTATTTGAACAGGCAAGGTCGCGCCAGCTTGAACCGCCACAAAATCCCTCACGTCCGACTCCGACTCCGCTCCTGGTCGATCTCCTCGCAGCTCATCTGCATCATCCCCCGGCTGTCGGAGTCCGCATAGGGCTCCAGCATCGCAGCCGTGGAGGCGCCCAAGCCCCCGTCCGTCCACAGCTTCGCGCGGTCGCAGCTCAGCAGACCCGACGGGTGCGCCTGAGGAGTTGCCCTTGGGCCCTTCCCGGCCCTGGGGCCCTGGGGCCCTTGGCTAGGAACAGGGAAATCCCATTTCCGGGGTGCCGGTTCGTCTTTGGAGGGACTTCCAACCAAACAACACCAAGTAAGAAGTACAGGATCTATGTTTTGTAGAGTTCAAGGCAACCATGCAAAACCAGTGTTCAATCCAGATTTTTTTTCCAGCATGATGTCTTCCTACCAGTACGTTGCTGCGTGGCAAAGGATTCATACATGTGCAACTTGAAACTTTCACCGTGGCCTTTCTGGAACCAGACTGGATTTCCAGGCTCCCATGGTTGCATTTCTCCCCCGAACTAGGGGAAAAAGCCGAAAGCCGAACGCCAAAATTTCAGCTCCCGCTGGTTTGATGCTCTCGGAAGCCCAGGAAATGTAAACCGCTCTGGGCCTGCTGGGCCTTGGGCGCCCCAGGCTGCCCCACATCTTGCCACTGCACCGTCAGGAAGACCCGGCAGCACAGGCGGCCTCGCGCAAGCGAGCGAGCAACTTGCTCGCCTTGAGGGTTTTCGCTTCTTTTTTTTTGGGCCTGCCAGACTCGCAAACGAGCAAACGAGCAACTAGGCCTGCCCGGCGATTTTCTTGTTGAAGGAGGGGGGGCGATCATGGCCCCAAAAGCAGCAACAGCCATTGTGTGTCTGTACCAAAAAGGCGGAAGGACGCTTCGCCCAGCGGCTCCAAACTGAAAACCATGAACAAACTGGCAAGCTGCCAATTTGCTGACCGGCGGCTTGTCTGATTGCGGATGCTGATCCCAGATACAAGGCACAGACTCGTTCGTTTGGGGCTCCTGGGCGATGCTAAAACGAGGTATCATACTGAACACAAGATCGATGGGAAGTAGTTCCCCAAAGCCAACGCATCAAATCCACTTTCTGGCATCAGAGGTAGCCTGATTCCAGATCCCATGGATTGCCCCTGATCCAGACTGAAGCAAAGCTCTTTTAGAGCGTGTGGCGAAAACAACACCTTGCTCACTTAAAATCCGTGCGCCCCTCAACATAGTCTAGTCGCCGCAACAAAAGGCGGTCAACAAAATGCAAGGTTCAGGCCAAACACAACTGCAAAAAAGAAGCAAACTGAGACATCTACCATAGGTTGAGGCGTTCATAGTCGATACAGCGAGTGTTCAGACCATTGTTTGCCTGTTTTGTTACTTCCTCTCAGATTCCCAGTTCCCAGTGGATTTCCATGGGAAAAAGGCACTCTTTTGTTGCTTGGTTGAGATTCAATGGGAACCCTTCCCAAAAAGGAGAACGAATCCACTGGGCAACTGGGTCCCGAGATCTCATGGCCCCCGATGGTGTGCCATGCCATCCTCCGCGCCTTCGTCCGCGAGGGCCGCGTACGCCTCAAAGGGCCGCTCCACGCCGCCCAGCAGCTTGCTATCGTTGCTCTGCACAAAGGTGATGCCCTGCCTAAGCGAAAGGCCGGCCCCCCCTCCGCGACGAGGTGGGTTCCAAAGGCCGGAGGGAAGAAAATGCCAGACGAGTGGCTGGTGGGCGAGCCGAAAATTTCGCAGGCCCTCTATTCTTCGGGTACAACAGTTGGAATTGCTTAAAGGGTCCTCCAAAGTCAAGTACCTCTGCAAAGCAAAAAGGGTCAAGGGTTAGAAGGTCAAAGCCCGCAATCCGAACTACATCGACCTGATACGTCAGAGCCTCGCCGCCAAGCTGCTCCACACAAGCCCGCAGTCCTTTCAGCAGGATTTCCTTCCTCAGCTGTCGGGGCCATGAGGGTAGCTTGTTGATTGGCGCAATCTTCACGATCCCGCCGACCGCCCAGTTTGACTGTCCTTGCCAGTATCAGGGGTGCCATGCAGGTGAGGGGATAGCTGGATCGATATGAAGCCATTTGGCCTGGAGTGACAAGCCAGCCCCATCTCTGCAAGACTCCTGGGCTACACCTAGAAGTGTCCGACGAAACTTTGTTCCAGTTCCCCCCGCCCCAATTCTGACCCCCCGCGCCCAGCCCCTCCAAAAAAAAGAAAAGAATGGCTCCGAGGGTCTGCTGCTCAAAGGAATCCTCGGTCTTCAGCGGCTCCAGCAGATCTCCCAGCGCGCTCTCCCGCAAGATCCCCGTCGGCTCCCCAGCCTCCCGCTCGATCTTGCCGCCCTCTGGGTCCGAAGTGGCCCCTGTGATGCCGCACACACCTCGACTCATGACTCATGACTTGCTGGTGCGAGAGATGCAGGGAATGAGAAATGGAATGACCCTTACAAACCATCCCTTGTGGTTTCCTTCAAGAAAATCCCTGAGTTCATTCCCACATTCTCTACTGAGCAGCAGCAAGATGACCGCCATTTTTTTAATGTGCCAAGGGGCCCAAAAGAATGTTGGGGGTTATTGTTCGCTTCCCTTTCAACCCAGCCTCGTGCCAAGCCTCGCACAAGGGTTTTCTCGATGGCTAGGGTTCGCCCCGGCCATAAAAAGCCTCTGCGCTCGAAAGGTTCTTGGAAGGCTGACAAGGAAAGGTCTGCGAAAGGGGCAAGGGAGACCTTCTTTTTCTGGTCTTGCTCAGCCTTGCCTGAGGCATTTGCAGTTCCCTGTTCAAACCGAACATGGGTGACAAGGGGAAGTGAGCCACTTGTTCCTCAAGCATATGGCTCACACATGTCCTTCCCCACCTGTCATGGCAACCGGCTTTCAAGCAAGCCACTGTTCACCCAGGAAATCGACGAAACGGTTGGGATCCGTTGAAAGCGATCTTCCCCCTATAAAAGACGGATCGGTTCAGCTATTGCGGGTTGACATTGAAATCACAACCCAATCCACCGACAAATACAGGAACACGATGCTCTGGCAAGGAACTGCTGGTCCGAGGCAAGAAGCCAAAACCCACAAAGTATCACGGAAAGATGGCTCCTTGAAGTACCGATCTGTGTGCGCAAAAAAAAACATTGCATTGGGAGATCGTTCGCCAACGAAGCAAGCACGAGCAAGTCTAATTGATGTGTATATATATATATATATGTCCCTTCATACGCGCTTACCAATCCTTTCAAGGTCCTGAAAGCCGTCGTGCCATCCAAACACATTCACGACTCTCGCCACGCATCGAGAAGAACACCAGCACGTGTTATTAAAATTGGCTTTGAAGGGCAAATTGGGCTATGCCAAAGTTGCGGAACCCAACAAACGTGTGTTGTCCCTCAATTTTCCGATTAAATTAAACCCACACTAAAACAGGCTACCAATTCCAACACACACACACACACCCATACAGGGGCCAACTCTGGCTGTGTCTCAAAATTGCGGCACCTCCATCTCTTGCTGTTGGCTTCCCTTTGTGGTCCCAGCCAAAAGTAGGATCCCCAAGGAATTTCACCCTCAAACCCGCCGACCAGCTCCCCCCTCCAGCTCCCCCCTCCTGAGCCGCGCGGCGCAGCGCCGCAGAGCTCAGTACGCAGGCGTGGTGGCAGCGCCGAAAGAAGGCGGCCGGCAGGTCCCCCACCGCAGCGTCCAGGTCGTGTCTCGTGGGCAGCCGCCCCATCGCTTCCTCCGAGAAAGACTTAACATGGAACCGAAGGGGTACCCCCCCCTCAAAAAAAACTTATGTTTACTGAAAGGGGGGTGTCCATTGGGTGTAGTGGGGACTCAAACCATTATTGGAGGGGAATAGCTCCCTATTGATAAACGAAAATATGGGGTCAACCACCGACTAACATGGAAGTGCACAGACCCCTGTAGAAAGACTACTTTCCTCTTGGAAAGGGGCTTTGTGCACTTCCATGTTAGGTGGGAGAGTACCCCCAACACTTTCTGTCCTCAAAAGTTTTGGCGCTTTGCCGGTCCAAAGAGAAAGTGAGGGGAGCCCAAATAGGCTCAAGCGCAAAAGAGCTGAGTTAAACCAGGGGGAAAGTGGGTGGCACGATTCCCGGCAGTGGGTAAGTAAAGGGGATGACTACAACAAGAGGGGGGAATTGTCGGCTCAACCTGGAACCCACAAAGGGGCAAGAAGACTCCTCCGATAGTCAAGGCTTCTTGGTTTCTATGCTAGTCTGCAGGGGAGCAAACCCAAAAAGCCGAAGCGGGCTCGTGTCGATCGTGCCAAGGGTGGCGAGGATGACAAGGGCACAACAAATGCTTGGAATGAACTCATGCCGATATCTGCAGCCAAGTTGTCCAGTTGATGATGGGTACCAATTCCAAGATATGCAGAATTCGATATCCGAAATAAAATCCGCGGTAAATGAAGAGGTGAGCACATAGCTCTCACAAAAGATAGGAACAATGCTAAAGTACCAGTACTTTGATTTGAGACATCAATACCAAGCCAACAAAGCAGCGCAAGCGCGCGACATCAGAAGAAGCAAACTGCTTAGGCATCAAAAGGCATCAACATCAGCAGCACCAGCACCAGCACCTGCACCTGCACCAGCAGCAGCAGCAGCACCAGCACCTGCGCCGCCAGCAGCAGCAGCAGCAGCACCTGCGCCGCCAGCAGCAGCAACAGCAGCAGCAGCAGCAGCAGCAGCAGCAGCAAAAGCTAAATCACATTTCTGACTGCTCACCATGCTCACCAAAGTGAGGAGGTGCACAAAGCGAGGGCCAGGGCACCCAAATGGACTATCACCAACGCAAAACCCCGCAGTTCAATCCTTGGTTTGGTAAACCCTACCCGGACCCCACAAGCACCAGCCTGTGGCTCCCCCAGCATGACGTGGCCGATTAGTTTGCTTGGTGAGACATGGTGCCTGACTGCACGTGGGAAGTGCCACCGAAGCACACTGACTGTGAAAGGCCGGCCGCAGGTGGGAGAATTGCGCCAATTCAATGGACAAGTTTAACACCCCATAGTCTGGCAAAACAAAAACATGTTGGGAGCCTGAAGTAAACAGGATGTGGATGGATTTCTCTGCAAGTCGGCGTGGGATTCCATGCTGGGCATTGGTGAGACAGCAAAAAGCACCCTGCGGAAGACTTCCCGAATCCAAATCCTTCACTTGGGTCAAAGCCGTTGCGCTCACGGGTCTGTGAGGTCCCTCACAATTCCGAGTCTTCTCATATTTCCCACACACACACACACCAATCTGGCAAACATTAAGTATATGATGTCAATGTTTCTCTCTCTCATTGGAACTATATCCTCATATTCAATGCATACCCAATATCTAGTCATATATTTACCGTCCCACCAATCAACATGGAACCCGTCGGTTCCCTAAAGGGAAAATGGTCCACACCAGGACCCCCGAAGGTCGCACGGTTCCATGTGAAAACCAAAAATGTGGCGCGCCTGTTTTTTCGTGTCGACCGCTCCGACCGCTTCGACCCGCCCCTTTCGGCGTCGTTCTGTCCTGGTCCCAGCCAAGGCCTTCCAGGTACTTCAGGTTCGGCCGCTCCCTGAGGAACTGCCGCGCCCTCTCCTGCCTCAGCGCGACCCAAAAAAACCTTCGGGTGATCATGTCCCCGAAAGTCATCATGTGGTTGCGAAATCCGGAAATCGCACCACGAAATGACACCATTGGCTGAAACCATAACGTTTGTTGTACAGGGGACTCGTCATTCCAGGGCTTATGAGGTGGTGCAGGATTTCGTCCATCCACAGTTGTGTGCGTGTGAGGGCGTCTGTCAAAATACGGCCCCCCACCCACCCCCACCGAAAAAAGAACAAGAATTACACCAGCATAGACCGCAAACAGTAAAACACAGGCCGATACTGCACACCAGCACCTCTAGCAGCACCCCGCCCCGAAGAGCGCAGCAAGCAGCACCTCCCAGAGCACACGGCCGTCGCCCGCACTCCTCCAACAGCAGCCAAAACAGCGTCCCTAAACAGCACCTGCACCAGCACCCCAAACTGCATGCCCCCCAACACCCTGCCGTCTTGCAAAAGCGCCATCACCCTAAAAAGCACCTGCACCTGTGCTCGCGCCCGTCACCCCACAACCACCCGCGCCAGCACCCCAAACTGCATGCCCCGTGGCAAACTGCCATCAACCGCCAAAGTGCGCCAGCACCAGCACCCTGAACAGTACCCGCAAACAGCACTCCCAAAGCACCCGGCCGTCTGTCTTGCAAAAATGCCCCCGTACCGTCACCAGCACCACACACAGCTCCCCAAACAGCACACCCGAACAGCATCTGCACCAGCACCCGAACTACATGCCCCCTAGCACCCAGCCGTCAATCTCGCAAATAACTTTCCCCTCTTTAATAGAAGTTAGAACCCCTATAGCTTTCAGCTATCTGGGGAAAAAGAAAAAAACAAGAAAAAGAGAAGGACAAAAAAGGAACAACGGTGGGATTGCTGTTGGTCTTCCTTTAAGCCAATGGGTATCCCCCAAAACCACACACGCGCACATATGATGTTGGGGGCCAGGGTGGTCTGACATTGAAATTTGGTCAGAAAGTGGGGGGGGACTCCATAGGGGGGCTTCCACTGGAACATGGCAAAGAGTGCACTCGGAGTTCCCCCAGAAACGGCGCTGGATGGGTGTATAGCTGCACCACTCGCTGCGGCCCTGTAAAGGAGTATCCTCGAAGCAAATTTGTCTCTGGACCAAAGGGGCCCTGTCAACCCCGCAACTTTGCCTCACGCGTGACAAATCTGCCACAAACCAACCACCAATCAAAACCAAAATGATCGGGGAGACCCTGGCGTGAGATCCGCTCCTGCTAAGAATGCCACTGAGGGAAAGGGCTGTCCCTCAGCTCAACGCAAAGCCAACCGAACAGTGCGCATTTGGTCCAATGTCGGGGGGGGAATGCGAATGAATGTGTCTAAATCAACAGCTAGCTGAACTTCCAATGTCAAGCAACAGCAAAAGATGTCTCTGACATGTGCAAGGGCTCAGTCCGCACGCCACGATTTCAGCCCTGCAAAATGTAATAGATTCAGACCCCGAAGCGAAGAGCCTTCAACATAGGCCAAAGTGCTCCTTTAACCACCCACACCCAATTCACCACATACATTCGACGGGGCAAAAATCTAGACCTGCTAAGCATACCCCTCCCGAACAACTGAGTGGGTAAGTTCCCCCTCGCAGGGAATGCTGACACCCTGGGGCAACGGGGACTTCTGCTTAGCTAAAGTTCAGTGGGTTGGACGCGTTCAAGCATGGGCGCGATTAAACTAAAATGTGCTGTGCCAGATTCTTCGCTACCTTCGCTCACATAGCAGGTGTCATGTTCGCAACACAGAGCTCCCTATCTTCCTCCTTTAAACAACACCCCACCAAAACCAAGCTCCCTTTAAACTGGCCCGACAGTGACGCCACTAACACCACTAAGAGGGGTAAGAGGGAGAAGCCTGTGGGAAGGGCAAGCCTCCCAAGTTCTGAAATTCTGTCCCAGCTGCATCTCCTGGATGCTCTTGCACTCCGAAAGGTCCACCGATTCCAGAAGCTTTTTTCCCAGCGCGTAGACATGAATGTGGCCTGGCGAGGCATGCGAGGCCCACGTTGCATGCGAGGCATGCGTTGCATGCGAGGCATGCGACCGGGACGAAACGTGTGTCAACCACATCTTGCCCTGTTGTGAATACATTGAGGGCCCCAAATTGAGGTCTTCACTGAGCAGCACTCGCCATCCCCAAAGTAGGCTAGCGTAACAAATGAATGTCCCATGTTCTGCGGGCAGTGAAACCAGCCCGGTGTGCTGCTTGCGGGTGAGCTGCTGTCGGCCAGGCCGGGCAGCACCACCCGGCCGTCGAGGTCCAACACCTCCGCCGCCTCCGGCGGCGTGCCCTGGCCCCCGGCCTTGATGCGCCCCTCCTGTCGCGGCGCTTGCCGGGACCACGCCGATGTCGCCCCAAACGAACAGCACAACTTGAAGACCCACACAGCAAACCTGTCTATAATCATGTTCGTTTCTATTGCTGCTGCAGTTGTTGTGGTTGTCATTGTGGTCGTTGTCGCTGTGGTGACTGTTGTGTGTTTCTGATTGTGGTCGTGGTCGTTGTCGTTGTGGTGGTGGTTGTGGTTGTCGTTGTGGTTGCGATGGTGATTGCTGATGTTGTTCTCGTTTCGGCGCTGCTGTTGCTGCTGTTGCTGCTGTTGCTGCTGTGGCTCCAGCTGTGATTGCTGTTGAGGCAAATGTTGTCTTTCCTCACACCGGAAGCAGGCTTCGGGGAGATGTCGCCATGCTTCGAGTTTTCGTGGGGGCTCTAGGCGGAGGTACAACTGCCACATGTTGGCGGCCAAGCTTGCATCAACAAATTGCGCGCAGCATCTGCAGTTCGCACTGACACGCAAAAGTCCAACAATGCCTTTGCCGGCAAACACGATGTGACACGCATATAGTCCATGAGCAAGACAAACTGTGAGCAAGGCCATCAAGCACAAGTCGTGAGAACTGATCCAAAGACGCTGGCGGAAACTCTAGCAAGTGCAGCACTTTGTTTGCAAAATGTTGCAAGTATTGCAATTGATTCGATTTGATGGGCCAATTTGGGCGGAAGGATTCCTTCGCCACTCCGGCAGTTGACGTGAATGTGCTTGTTGTATTTGGATGTCACAACGCCAAAGAAGGAAACACACACACACATTGTTCTGGGGGCTGCAGGAACCTGCCAATCGATCACCCCAAATCCGGAGGCTGTCCTTGCTGATTGTAGGCGATGGACTTGTCCAAATCTTTAAAGAGTCAGTGAGGAATAATCCAGGCTCATGCTCAGGACATGTTTTAAATGTTATAAACTATGCTCATGTTATCGCCGGCATCACATAGCTAACCGGTGCTGTTGACTTGACAGCATATGTCGTAAAGGATGGTCAGACTGAATCCAGCGAATGCAAGCCCTCACCAATGCGAGTGTCGGACAATATCCTGCAACAAAAAAACACTTCGAACACTGCGCGCTCCCTCTTAATGCTTGAAAACACTCCCTGGCACCCTGAGAACTTCATGGGGCACGTCTTCTTTGAGTTCCCTTTGAAAGCAAAGCCAAACTCTCAACAGGCCGCCCAAAAGCCAAAGCGGCCCCAAAAACCTGAGTCTTCTTTGAGTTCCCTTTGCAAGCAAACCAAACTCCTGGCCGCCCAAAAACCACCACGAGCGTGCGGACCCGTTGCCCAGGTCCTCTATAAGCAGCCAGCTCCTCTCTACCAGCTGGCCAGACTTGCAGCTCAGGATGCGGCCATTCCGCAGCAGCAGGCTCATAGCCTGGTGTTTGAAGGATCCTCCCAAGAAATCCGACCGGCCTCACCCCTTGAAACTGAAGGCAGTTAGTAGAGGCTCAAAGGTCCAAAGTCTGCAGATCCGAGGTCAAAAGGCTCCAACACCTCAATTGAAACCAAAAATGAAAGGAAAACTGCCGTCATCCAAAAGGTTCCATGCTTTCGGTCGAAAAAGAGCCACCAAGTCGCCGCGCAGCTTCCCGGCAGCAAGCGGCTTCGAGCTCTCTCGAGCCAAGAGGCGAGCGGGGGCATGTCAAAAGCCCCTCAGGCTCGCAACGTGAAACCGAGAATGTGGGCTTGATTGGTTCTGAGAAATACAGTAGAAGGCTTTCTGCGCATATTGGTTGTGAAAAATAGGAACCCTTCGTGGTTGGGTTCCTCTTGATGTCATTCAAGAAGCCAACATGAGGACTTGCTATTTTGAGACGGAATTAGCCTACAACTGGCTAGAAGCGCTACTACCAAGTGCCCGCTTTGCTTCTCCAAACCGGCCAGACAAATCAAGAGCATCGCCACTCCAAGTGAGATATCGGAGCTTTATGGTTCTCATGCCCGCAAAGCGTAAAATTAATTGGTGGGATGAACCTCCAAGATTGATTTGTTTTTGCATTCTTCATCATTGTAGGCAAGGGCAAAGATGTGACTAACTAGGTGGCCCCCCACCCGGCAAAAAAAACACACAAAAACGAGCTTAGCTTCTTGCTGGTTTCTGGGGAAACACACATTTTCCCAACAAGGCCGAGAGATGCGTCCAACCGCCGCCGGGTACTTCCGACGCCTGGGCCACTGCCCGGTTCACCAGCGCGGAGCTTGAGCGCACCGCCACGCGACAGAGCTCCTGGGGGCGTTTAGGGGGCCCTGATTTTTGTTCACCATCCATCCTGCTTTCGTTCAGCCGCTTTTCCCCGTGTTTGGGCCCAACAACAAAAACACCAGTGGAGGTCAAGAATCGGTTCACCCAGCCAATTTGTTTCCCATGTTTGAGCCAAAACAAACCAAAAAACGCGGAGGTCACGAAACTGGATTCCTCTGACGGCTCCTCCTTGGCGCCCCGTGCCGTGGCTGCAGACTCCCCCGGTGCCGGGCCCAGCTCGGCGCGCAGAAGCACGTCCGACTCGTGGCCTGCAGGAAAGGGAACGCGGAGCAGCGTTCACCGCCATAGATAACATGGCGATTTGTTTTTTTTCAGAGTTGGCAGCCCCTGAAAAGTGGTGGACATGAATCCCCAAGTAATGTCCACCAAAGGGTCCCTTAATATTCCTACCCAGGGTGCCAAACAACGAAATCATCAGAACCATGGAATCCCGAATGATGGATTCCAAAGAGCTTTGGAACACCCGCGAGCTGCAGGTCGTGGTTTTTGCCAGCGCCTGGAGTGTCCGTTCTTCCTTTGACCCTAAGCCGGCTCGCGCCTGAGGGATAGCAGCCCGCGAAGAGCGCTGCACGGAAGCCGCCCACGCCTCCCAAGCCGTCAGTCTAGGCACGGATTCCCAAATCGGATGTACGAATTTGCGCATCCGCTTTGTCACATCTGGGAAACCACGGATAAAAAAATTCAGGGTATCGCTGGTTGTCCTGCCTGGCCGGTAAAATGGGGGAGAGAAATAAACCGGGACATGCACCCCGGCACGCCAGAGCTTCGCCGGGGGAAATGCCGACGCCTGAAAGAAACGAAACCCCAGGCTCCACATCGCGCCTGGCAGGCACCGCAGCGCGCCGCCCAACTCCAGGGCCTATGCCCAGCTGTCCAGTCCAATCGTCCTTTGGAGGGGTAGCTTCCATGTCCCTTCCTTCCAGGGATCCGAATGTTTCCAGGAAACATAGAATGAAAAGAACAAAAACACAAAGAAACAAAACAGGGAAGCAGCGATCGGGTTTAAAAAGAACGATTGTTGAAAAGAATGGGGAACCAACCCCTAGAAAAATAGCTGACACCCCCCCCCTTTTGAGACACGCCCATATGGGAGTTTCTCCAAATGCCCGCCTTTTTGGAAAAGATGGATGCCAGGTGAAAAAGAAAGATTAGAAACCCATCATACACCCAAAGTCTCCAGTCAGGTCACCCAGACATTTCCGCATCTCAGAAAAGCACCGGGCCAAAGGGAAGCATTTCTCAGAACCATGGGAGTATTTCCGAGTCCTCGGCTGTCTATGGGCCTAATCACTTCTTTTTCACATAGAGCAGTTGCCTGCTTTAGAGCAAAATCCTCTCTCCCAACCCATCGCTTGATAAAGGGCTCATTCCAGGGAAGTCAGGGGCATTTGGGGGGCGTCCAAAGCAAGCTCCGTCAAACATGGATTCAGAGCTGTATCTCCTTGATGCTTGGGGGGTGCTCCCGAATCCGCCTGCCAAGCAAAGAACGCCGCGTTCTGGGCCAGCGCTGGCCGTAGCTTGCAGATGCAGGCGACCTCTCAGTCCGACAAAGTCTAACCATTTTAGGATCTTTCATCTACGGTGGGCCATGCTTGGCTTCTCGGAGTCCAATTAAGACGGAATGTGACATGAAGTGTGGTAGCAGTGGATAACTCCAGCCACCACAGACATTGTGAAAAAAGCAAACAAAGCCAGAGCTGGATGGGAGTTCGTTGGGAGGCCAGCCCATTTCCGTAGCGCGAGGACTGTGATGTCTCGTTCATTTCCTCAGCCGCAAGATGAAACCCTGGTGGTTCATCGGGGCACCGCCTCTCTAAGTGACAACGACACCTTGGTAGAGATCCCGGTCCCCTTAGCCTTTTTTCTCCGGCAAATGGTCATCAGGTTTAAAAAAAAAAAAGAAAAGAAAAAAACGCCAAAAACACCACTGCACCATCCTCGAAGAAACCCTTGCAACAAGACTCCACGGCTGAGGCACGGCATCTGAAGCTTCTCCCGAGCCCCCCAAAAAGTGACCGGCGAAAACTCTCTCCGTACGGAACTCCGGACGGGCCTCCGCGTGAACAAAGTCCTTGGGCGCAGAGCAATCTGGAAGCAACTTCCATGGAGCGACATCGTGAGCTTGACAAACCAAAATCCTTGCCAGGTGTGGCGTTTTCCTCGCATCATATGGTTCCGGAAAATTGAAGTTGCGGCATCCGGAACTGCGTGAAAGTCTGATGGTTCGCTTCCATGAACTTCAAACGTGCCAGGCGTGATACATACCAAAAGCGCTAGATTCGATTCACCCCACACGCAAACTCCAACTGGCCAAGAAGCCTGCCTCAGCATAGTACTGAGCAAGTCGATGTGTGTTTCCCCCAACAGCTCCAGCTTGGGTCTCTGCCCAAACAGGTTCCGGAACGATTCGCAGCTGCTCCACAGGAGTAGAAACGTTCAAGGGGTTGCGGTTGGGGATATTTTATCTGGGCTTCTGGCTTTAGATGTTTTACACCATGTCTACACAAATTGTGAGCTGCAAAGTGCTTTGCAAACTTTTGTCCCCAAATGAGTTCCCTTTGATATGATCTTCCAGGCCTCCACCCGATTTGTAGCGGAAAGGAAGGTCCCAGTCGCCCACACGTGGAAATAGGAACTAAAACCTGCGGTCCCCTGCGGGTTCAATTTTGATCCATACATTCCATACCAAGCCCATGTCTTGGGGTGAACAACTTCCGAATCCTGAAAAAACAAGGTAGCAACCCCGCGACTGGGTCGTCCTAATTGGACTTGCCTGAGATCGCCCGAAATTTACTTCTCAATGCTGCACGCAGTCAGGCTGAACCACCGCACTGACCCGACAAAGGCCTGACCATACATGGAAAAACCCACGGTTTTTGGGGTGGGCAGGATGCCACCAAAAACAACACCCATGAGCCAGGGGTCCCATGCTCTACAATCCATCATATTGAGCAGCGTCCCAACCACAACCCGAAATCCCTCTCTCCCCCCACCTCTCCCCCACCTCTCCCTCCCACCTCTCCCCTTCCCCCCCACCTCTCCCCCCACCTCTCCCCCCACCTCTCCCTCCCACCCCCTCCCCACCTCACCATCTCCCCACCTCCTGGTCCAGCCCGATTCGACGAAGGCGCCGGCGCATCCCAAAGTTGCAGCGCCCTGGCCGCCAGCAGCGCCTTGTCCGCCGCAGCCAGCAGCTTCGACGCCAACGGCAGCCGCAGCCGGGCCCTCCACAAATCGCGACGGAGAGGCGCCAAACAAAAAGAAAACGCGGCCTGAAGCACCTGCTCTGTGGGTTTCCCCGGGAAAAAAAGAGTCGTTGAATCTGTGAATCTACACCCTCTGGCCAATGAGTTGTGGATTGATTGGCTGCAAGGGTGTGGTTTGCGCATGGGTTTTTGCAAACTCATGTAGCTTATCAACACTTGGCATATCCTGAATTGACCAAAGCCTTGGTCCGCCGCCCATTGGCTTGCACCTAGTGTGGTTTCCCCGCGCTGCTCCGCCCCCGGGCCTTAGCCCCTGGTTGTCCGGCTGCAGATATGCCAGGTCAACCTGTGCGACCGAATCCGGCCCGAATGCGCAAAAGAAGCACACCAGGGCACCGCAAATCAACAAGAGAAACTTCGTAATATGCTGGGCTGTATGTGCTGGTGGAAGTAAGCTCAACAAACCTCTTGACACGATTAGTACATACACATGCACGTGCCACCAACGCATATCCAACCTTGTGAACACATCGACATGCTCAAGCTTTGCAATCACCCAAGTCATATCTTAGCGGTCACCTCACACCTCAGGTTGAATGTGTGGATTCCTTGGATAAGAGGATAGCGAAGGTCACGCTGGGTCATGTCGCTGTCTTGGGAAAACGACTGTCCTCTCCGCGAAGCGCCTGCGAGCTGCTTCTGTGATAGCTTCTGGGCTTGCTCTACGTTGCCAAAACCCTTGCTCAATGAGTAGCTCATGTCTTGACTTCTCGATCCAAGGCTTGACATGTCATGCTTCATGGTCAGCTACGAATAGGCCATGTCTGCCGTACTTGCCCCGTCGCGCCTGCGGGCCTCCATCCGCAGAGTCCACCACCCCAAAGACCTGTGAGCTTTTGGCCCAACAACCAATCATCATGGAGTGCCACCCGCTTTCTGGGTTTGACAGCCCAAACCATAATTCAATTTCAGACCATTCCGGCCCCTAACATCATTTGTGTGTGTGTGTGTTTTCGGGGATACCCGTTGATTTAAAGGAAGACCAAAAGGATTCGCAAGAAATCCTCTGTTGCTCTGTGGCATCCATATTCATGTGCTGACTCCGTCTGGCCGCACTGGTTGCCTACTTCCTCATCAGCGCCTTGCTGACATTAAAAATCTCTGGCGGGCGTCTTGCAATCCTGAATCTCGCTTGGCAAGAGTGGGCAATCACATATCACACAGCGCGACAACTTGCAGGTGTTTGCTCATCAAAAACTTAGAGCGCTTGGTCTTCCAGAGTTGGTGGTTGAATTTGTTGAATACATGCCAGCGTTTGGCTTGCATGCACAGGTCAAATTGCCAATCCAATGTTCTTGCGCATTCCCTTCAAGCTTTCTTGGTTTCTAGGTTTCTTGGGTGCCTGCACCCGGGCTGAAACTGTATCTGCTTCAAACAAGTGAGAAGGTTCTTCATTCTGGTGAGCTAGTTTTGCCTGGCGGGAAATGGGACACTGGGTGAGTCAAACTCCTGCAACTTCATTGACCCTCCCTGGATTATTACAAGCGCCGTCTTGAATATCATATGGTTTTCCCTTATAGACAACACCCGACTGTCACAAAAAGAAGAAGCATCAAATCCAAAAAAGGCAACATGGTTCAGAAGTGTTCCTTTCTTTGTGGTCCTCGCTTGCCACAGGCTTTCCAATGAAGCCTCTTCTCAAAGGAAAGGGGGAGCCTTAAACACGGTCGCTTCGACTATTGTAGTTGTGGCTCGCGCATCAAGCAAGGTACAACAGTACCCAGTTGTTCAAGAGCTTGACTAAACAGAAGACAGGTCTTATGGCTCCAAAAAGTCACAACGACCCGAGCCAGGGCCACGTTGGAAAAACACAGCCCAAGGTATCAGCGTAGATCACACTTAGGGAGTAAAATGCAGCGACGGACCCACCAAAACTGCACACCAATAGGACCATCCTGCAGTAAAGGTATTCCCAAGATCGCACACATGCATCCACTGGCTGTAACTGCAAACGTAGTGCAAAACCATATCTGTCACTTTGATCGTCAAGGAAAGCGACCAGACCATCCGAAAAGCAGTGACAGCCAATGTTGGCCTGAATAGATCAATCGCAGCAAAAGCTCATCCACGCGAGAAATCCCGCCTCCAAGCGGCCCCGAAAGTGTAGCTGCCCCGAAGGCCCCAACGGGCGCGCGACCTCCAATGGAAGCCAGGTGAATCCATCAGGGGCACCTTTTCTTGCTTTGGTGCTGCTTTGTTGGAACCCAAGATTAAGCGACTGTTTTGGTGGAAGTGAGCGATCTTAGCCACAGTCCTTCCTTACCAGACTAGGTTGCCCAAAGAATCGATTGCGTTCATGCAACGCGTTCCGCGGACGGAGATAGGCGCCCTCAGCAAAGAACAACGCGCTGGTTTCATTGATGAGCCCTAATCTGAAAAAGGGTTAGCTGAAGTGCGCAATGACTTGCTACATTTGCTTCCAAAAGATACGAGGAAGATCTGAATATGCTCTTGCTGATGCGCACTTCACAGAGTGCTCCTTGAGCTCTTCTTGATTTTTCCTTGACACCTTGGAACTGGCTCCTTGCCTCCTTTGACATTGCTATCTGACTTTTTGAGATTGCTCCTTGCATTCTTTGAGATTGCTGCTTGACCCCTTTGAGAGGCTCCTTGGCTTCTTTGAGATTGCTCCTTGACTCCTTTCAAATTGCTTCTGACTACTTTGAGATTGCTCCTTGGCTGCCTGGTTCTGCTAATTCGGCTACCTCGTCTATGACAGGAACTCGTTGAGGTGGCCCGTCGTCTGAGAGATACGGTTTTGTCTTCATTGCGAGGCGTGCGTGTGTGTGTGCGTGTGTGTGTGCTGAGGGTCCGATTTACCCTGATGCCACGTCATCATGGAACCTTTGAGCAGGCGCGGGGGTGTCCGGCCAACGAAGACACCCCCAGTGCCCGGGTGTAGCCGTACCTGCAGGGCTGCGCCTGGGCCATTGTGTGTAACTGAGGTCACACACCGGGGTCAAAAACAATGTCTACGTCACTGGGTCTTGCAAAGGCCGTTGTAACTGAGCGCGGCAAAGCCATCCCAGGGTCACTGATTGGGTACACCCAGGCGTCCCATTGGGGTGGTACACGCTTGTGTACGAGAGCGATGGGGTTCCACCCAGGCCCCGGCTCTCAAAGGTTCCATGACGATGTGGCATCAGGGCAGATGTGACGCGCACACACACCCACGCACACGCTTTCGGTTAACCGAACTCACCACGTTTTACACAATGCGATAGGTGGCCCAAGAGAGCAGAATAGTTTGCCCACTTCAGGCTGGCCAGAAGAATTTCGATACTTGATAGGGATAGGGGTGTCAGTCAGATTCCAGCCAGTCTTCACAGCGTCCCCAGAACTGTTTTTATCCCTGCCTGCGGCTCCAGCTGCAGGGCGAAACGGCTTGCCACGCCTCAACTGCGCATTGTGAAGGTGGAACGAGCCCTGAAGAGTTTTTGGGTGCCTTTACCATCAATTCGAGGGCAGTTTGAAGGATGTCCTTTGTGCCCGGGCAGGCTGTGGGTGGCGCGGCCGTCTAGGGTTGCCAAGTTCCTCGTTGCCCTCAGGGCCACTCTGCCTAACAGTTTTGACAACTAACAAAGGCAACATTGCCGAAGGTAGGTCGCCTTGGTTTAGACATGGTCCTCATGCTGCTACCCTTCTGAAAGCAACCACAGTAGGGCTGAGTGACGCGAGGTTCTTGCCATGGCGCACTAACATATACATTCATCAGCCTGCGTGGCTATATGTATACGCATCGTGTAAACATAAAAAAGTGGGAAAATGCATAACTAACAAGCAAATCAGGAAATACATGATTAACCAAACAAACTGATAAGGCTCAAACATGCATAAATACATGTATTGCAAACATGTTTATTTGCGGGGGCACTACGCTTGTTTCTAGCAGTGCAGCACGTCACTGTAGACTTCCTCTTTGTGCAGCTGGTATTTGTGTTTCCAGCTAATTTTTAGGCAGAAGTTTGGTCACTTTGAACATCTTGTGTTACTCTTCGTTTTCTCAGGGATTCTTGCTATTTGTCCTTTCCTGGGACGCTGGGTGTTTTTTGGAAAACTCGGGGAATTTTGGGAACCAAAACGCCACTGGAAATCCGTGTTTAGAGCAAAGCAAGACCCTTGAAAAACCTAAACAAGTCCAAGGTTTGGGCTGCCAAAGCTGGAAATTTGTCTTTGTTGTCAAACCAAGAAAACAACCACCTTGCCTTTCTGCAAAGTCCGCTACCGCATCTTTCTAAAAGGCTGGCTGCGCGCGCAGCGGCTGCACTCGTTGGTTCGCCAACTAACTTTGGAACCATTGCGCGTTCTTCACAATGCTCTTTGAAATCTCCTCGCGAACTTCAATGATGGCGCCCCCGCCCATCCCGACCCAACAAAGCTTTCGGTGGGCTGGTCGCGCGAGTCTCTGAGCCAAGAAACTAAGAGGCAAAGCCGAAACCCACGCAAGGGAAGGAAAAACAAACAACAGTAGTGTCGCTGGCGATTTCGCCTTTTAAAAAAATGAAAAAATGAACCAAAAGCTATTCAGCGAAGCATTTGGGTTGCGCCGCGAGCGTCCTCCCTCTCCTCTTTTGCGCCCGCAACGACAGCAACACATCTCACGCGCTCCAGCACCGCCTGCAAAAACCACGCCTGTTGTTTGTGGGGAGCTGCTCCTCCCTCCCAGCGCGTTTCCGGGAGCCCCTCTTGCTCCCCACCTCACTTCTGACCTGCTCCCTTGCAGACCCCTCTTTCACGCTTGTTGTTTTTGGGAGCTGCCTCGCCAAACGCAGATTTTGGGAGTCCCTGCATCACCTTGCTTTGGCTCGTGGAAAGACTCGGCAGAGCGCCCGTCACGCGCATCTCATCTGGCAGGTGGCTCTGTTGCGCTTCGGAGGAGCTGTCGCGTTCTGCTGCCTTGGGCAGCTCGGGCGACGCCGGATTAGTCCTGCCTCGCAGTCGTCCTGCTTCAAAAGGCGCTGCTTGAGAATTGTACGGAGCTTTTGCCCAGGCAAGAGCTTTGCTTACCGCTTCTCATCAGCGGCTATGAGCTGACACTGAGCAAGGGCATCTTCGTGTGCATGCTTCACGGCGTGTCCTGCGAACCCTAACGGGCACTGCCTCAAAATCACGCGCATCAAACAACATTCTGAGGGTGGACATCTCGGCAAAACAGTTTGCACGCTGTGCATGAAAGAAGAAGAGGTTGCATTCCGCGGAACAGAACTTTACACCTATAAACAATGTCAAGATACAACATTAAACATGTGAAAAGTCACAATCTGTTAACCTGGCGACCGCACGCACGCACGCCACGCACGCGCCAGATTCACCAAATACCGTCAAATTTTCGTGAACAACAAAATATCGCTAATATGTCGTTCCCGAAAATCATGAAGAATTTCGGAGTGTTCGTGCAAAAAAATATGGAGATTTCGAACTCCTGGCGCTACCGAATCCACCGGTGCCAAA